GAAAAATTCATACCCTTAACTCCAAACCGGTAAGTCCTATTACTAGTCCTAGCATCAGCCAGACTGCTAAACCGGTAAGTCCTATTACTGCTAGTCCTAGACTCAGCCACACCGCCTCTTTCTCATCTTCTCCACCGAACCAGCACCCTTCCTTGCCTTCTTCTCTTCAAGGTTCCAAAGAAGAGTTCATGGATGTTTTGAAGAAGCTTGGAGCTGAGATAACGGAAACAAAGACTGAGGTGAGGATGTTGAAGGAGAGAGAGTTTGGTACAGAGATGGCTTTGGCTTCTTTAAATGCTGAGCTACATAAGAGCATAGCAAAGATGGCTAAAGCTGAGTCTGATGCTGCAGAGAGTGCAGCAGCTATGAACAAGGCTTTGAACGTTAAGGAGAAGAAAGAAAAAGAAAATGGAGAAGAAGAGAGGAGGAGGAAAGAGCTGATGAGGAAGATGGCGAAGGAGTATCCTACACTGGCACAGATACTTGACAGTAACAAAAATGGTTATTTTGCGAAGACTACAAAGAAGAAGAAGAAACCTATCGTTCCTCTTTTGGGTGATTTCTTCTTTTTCAAGAAGAAAGGTTCTTCAACTGAAATTTCTGGACCTCTTGGTCCTCTTTACACTACTTCTTCCACTTGAAGTGTATACGTATGCACGCTCTAATGCTCATCAATATCTGTGTGTATGTTCTTTATTTGTTTGTCTCTTTGTTTGGATTTTGTGTGCAAAGCAGAAACGTATGTTTCCTTATTTCATCCTGTAACAGGTGTTAGTTATTACCTATCAATAATAATCAAATAAGAGACTGTAAGAATATAGTTTTAATCTAATGACATCACAGATTATAGAAATGCAGAGTGTAGATACATAACAAACAATTGCAGAGGGTTCTTGATGCAAAGATGAATTAAAATGCTTAAACTCAAACATAATCTTTTATTTCATTTTATTAATAGTCCCCACAGATTTAACAAGAGGGTAGGATCCATACAGATAAAGCGAGGTAGAAATTACAACAGCAACGATACAACTACAAAGTTGAGACAAAGGTACCCACCCAGAGATTTACACCAAAGGATCTTCTTAAAACTTGTTCACTGAATGCATTTTCCTTACCATTACATTTTAAGCTTGAGGTTTCTCATGAGTTGACCCCATCTTGGAGTATCCTCATCAAAAATGTAGGTAAGAGGTGAAATTAATACCCCACTGCCTCCAACCTGCAATAACATTAGTGAAAAAGTGGTAAAACAATCAACTAGCACGTCATCATTTAAAGGTTCGGGGTGGAACTGAGATAAGTAAGCAAGAAATTTCAGGGAGTACTAACCGCTCTTAGTTGCTTCACAGACTCGTATAAGGCCTTTTTCGGCACACAAATCACTATAGCATAGTAGTCAATCGATACTTTTCCATCTTGTTTACAGTAAACTGGGCTTATTGTTGGTCCCTGCTCAATATAAGAGAAGCCATAAACGATCAGTGAGAAATACAAAAAAGCTAAGGCTTAAGACATTTTCCACCATCACGAAACATTACTTGCAATCCTGACAGTGATGGTTGACTCAACACACGCTCAGCCACTTCTTGAGCACTATTTCCTCTCATGTTTGCAACAACCTGAAATAACAATATTAGAGAAAAAGCAATGAAACATCTTCACAAGAGCAAAGTGCGTACAGTAAATTGGCCATCAGCCTTAAGATGTGCCTCTAATCTCTCGAGAATCTCGTGTACAGTTTTTAAGGCTCCTTTTCTCTCGGTCAATGCTCTTCTGCTTGCCACAAGTGCCGCCTGAAATTTATAAAGGAAATGTTCAGGAATTGATAGCCGCCAACATACAGAGTTAAGGCTCCAAGAACTTCACATCACCTGACTTTCCAGCACAACCCCTCCTTCAATCTCTTTTAAGTTGTTCTCTTTGAGTGTTGTCCCACTACTCACAAGGTCCAAAATGCAATCAGCTATCCCCATCTAGTTAACATGAAAATATGTGTCAACAAAGGTGTCCTTTGTCCCAGGCTAGAAAAAAACTTTCATGTCACAGCCCAACAGTAAGTACATTAAATGCTAACGAGATTACCCTCCAACACAATACATCGGATTAACACCCTTTTTATCAGACTAGAGAAATAACCTCTAAACAAGCAATAAGAATAAATAAAGGAACCATGTATAGATTAATCTAAGACATACTACAAAATATGTAATCATGGATAGGCAGCAAAATATATTTTCATTTAAAAAGTGAAGTCTTTTCTATCCCTCTAGAAGAAGCTTTATTAGCCTAGTGTTGAAGAAAGAGTATATGTTTGGATGTAAAATAGTATAATCTCACCGCCGGAGCTGCCTCCAGAGCTCCGTCTGCAGTTGAAAACGTTACATGCTGTATGCCTTTTTCTTCCATAAATTTGGGACCAAGCTTCAAAAAATCAGATGAAAAATTCACAAATATTAAATTGCAGCTAAATACACCCTGAGAGAAAACTAATGACAACGGCGCACCAAAAGGAGAATCTGTAACTCATCATACATAAGTGAAGCCAGTGGCAACACGCAATGGTCTCTCCTCACTCCACTGCGGCATTTCTGCTAGCTCCTTGAGAGAATTTATGGTCTCATAAATCCCATGGTTGGGTATCTGAGATCATTTTAAGAAAAACCATCAGCGGTAATGAAATGAGAAGTCCAACCACAATATATTAGGGCCTACCGCAATGGACAGGTGACAGTCTCCAAAGTTGAGAGCTTCATGGACAATGATAAGATCTTCATTTTCCTACTAGGAAAAACTCAAACAATTAAATTATGATGCAAATGAGAGTATCATAGTGAAAGAATTATATACTAAATCTTACAGCCCAACTCAACAATACGGGGCTTAACCAATGTCGAAGAATCACATAATAAGAAAATAAAAAGTCAACTGGTTGGTGGGAAAATATGCATTTTATTCCACTAAGTATTTAAAACGCAAAATTAAGAACATAATAGTCAACCGCTAATAAAGATAATGGTTCCGTTAACTTTTTGATGGTTGACTATTCAAATCATAATTTTTTGCAGTGAATGATTAGTTGAAGAATAAATATGCGTATATAATATTTAAGTATTTAATTTACCGACTGAAAATAAAGAATTTAAAACATGATGTTTTTTAAAATACATAAGTTAAAAGATTTTCAAGTCAAATACAATTAATATACAAGATTTTTAGCTTTTTAAAAGAGATTTTTGAGATTTTACAATAATATATGTATGATAATATAAATAATTATAATTTCATTATAGTGTTGATGTATTTCATGATTGCCTAAAGTAGGGGTGGGTATTTCAGCTATTTTATCGGTTCGGTTTGGTTAATTCGGTTCTAGAATTTTGGCAATTGATAAACCACAACTAGTTTAGTTTGGATCAGTTTTGGTTTGGTTTGTATTTGGTTTGGTGTGTTCCGATTTGGTTTAATCAGTTTTATATATATATATATATATATATATTAATTATATCTCCACAACGAGTATTATAGTAACAATAACAAACCACCACCCACCTCTAAGTATATATATTCTAGAAGAAAAAAAACAATTAAGGTCGTGACTTACCTGACCATATTCACAAAGTGTGTCAAGACCAACGATACCTAGATCCAGATCTCCTGAGAGTAACTTCCTGACAATGTCTTTTGGCCGTTGAAACCAGACTTCAGTGTTTGGTAACTGGAAGACATGAAAAGATGACCATAAACAACACAGTGTCGTTTTCATGTTGGCGTTGACTGCATACCTGGGGAATTTCTGCAACGTATTGCCTAGGATTGACTTGTTTGACAAAAAGTTGACAGTCCTTCAAAGAAGAAACAGCAAATAAGAAGATTCAGAACAAGCTACGAGACAACACTTAAGAGAAGAATAAGAAAAGACAACCTTTTTGCATACATAGAGATGATGAAACAGAAACAATAGCTACGATTAACAGTTTCTAGCTTCAACAAACGAAACAACCAAGATTCGGATATTTTAAAAATATACCAACTTCCTCCAGTTATTTCACCAAAAACGTAGCAGTATCAAAATCAAAAGGAACCGTATTCCGAAACCATAGAAGTTTCAAAAGACAAACATGAGAGACTATACTAAAGACAGGAAGAAGACAAAAACATAAAGTTGCTTGTGTCGAAAGCAATTAACAAAAGGGAGATAATCAAAGAAGGATTTTGAAGTAAAGCACAAGCACATAGTATATTATCTCAAGTTTGAAAAGCTAAATACACGTTAATCTATAGTAGTGATCGCATTAATCAGATAATAATCAAAATGCAATTTTCAGCTAACTTATCACCTTGAGAAGATCGATGGAGTCCGCGGCCATGCGTCCTTTGCTAGGAAGACCAAGCCGAATCTGCTCTCGCTCCACGACAACGGGGGCGGCAGGAGCAGCGGAACCATTAGTGACAGTGCTTTGAACGGAGGCGACGCAGGAAGTAACCAGTCTGAGGTCTCTCATGCGAGTTCCGACGAAGGAGAAAGCGGTGGAGGGAGACGTGGAGAAGAGTGGGGTTGACGGCGAGAGGGAGGGAGAAGGGCATTGTTGTAAATTAGCAGGGAGAAGGATAGACATTGTGGTTGTGGTGGTGGTGGCTCTTGGTGAGAGTGAAGAGGTTTTTATTGACCGGAACAAGGGAGGGCAGATACTGATTGCAGATTCTTGATGCCATTTTTATGCAACTTTGATAATAATTTTATAAGACCTTCTTCATGCGTTTTCCATTTTTTTTCATAATTTATGCAAAAAAGCACGTGAACATATAGATAAAAAAATCATTGGAAAAGTGGTGTAAACAATACTATATACTAGTTGCTGGGTGGCAAAGCAAAGCCATGTCGGGGTTCCACAAAATTATCCGCATCTCGGAAAAGATAAGTACGAGGTTGGACCTGTATTGTAGCATTTTCTGAAGCCCAATCTCGGAAAAAAATTGGACGGACATACCATTACTCATGTTGTTAGAACCCAACGAAATTTACATGCGGCTATGAGAAAATGCATAAATGCAATTCATATTTGTCCGTCCAAGATTTTATCTTAAGTATTTTTGGAGACGAACTTTGCAAGATTCATCCTGTATTCAGGTCCGCTCACTTTTCAAAGTTCATCATCCACCCAAGAGTGCTATCAGCCTCGTGATCCTTCACACACGCCCGCCCCCTTCAAGTGCTCAAGGAAAATGCAACTATCTTAGACTTTGCCAAGTGGTATCAAAACCACTTGAGAGTTAGACTTTGTGTTCTGAATTCACATAAAAAATATCATTATAAACATTGTCTTCTCTGATATTGAGTTTAAACAAATATAAATTAGTTTTGTTAAAAAAAAATCTAAGAGCAGTTACTATCGACGCTTAAGGCGATTTACTCAAACCACCGTCAAAGACTTTCTTCATCGAGATTTTCCGTGTCCGGCGGTTTCGGCCGTCAGGATTTTCCTGCTTGTTTTTCTTATTGTTAGTATTAGTTTAGTAATCTAACCAGTTCATGTTGAATTGGACATCAAGTTTTTCGATTTGGAAGAAACCAAATCGTGTTTTGTTGCCGCTTTACCAATTATGGTTACTCTGTCTTCTTCACCGGCGAATCTCAACAGTAACGATGGTCGGAGATATATCATCCATAATTCAGACAACCCTGAGGAATTGGATGAGAAGATTAATGGGTATTCGTGGAGTGTTTGGCGGATGTCTCTTCTCCCAAAGGGAGTGGTATTCTCCGGTGTTGGAATTTCTGGCAAGGAATTACAGTGTCGATGGCTTTTCCTTGCACATGTTGCAAGTCTGTATATTCTCTCGAGGATCTCGATTTGAGAAAACATGGAATCAACATCAGAAACCGCCATGGCCGGGGAATTACAAGGTATTGCCAAATGATCTACACTCAGATTTGAAGAAGTATGTTTTTATTGGGATATACTTTTGGAGATTCCTTTTCGGGTATGTAAGATGGCAGATAATAGTTTTTTTGCCTACGCAACCCGACTTCTTTCAAGAGTCAATGGGGTTGATTTTTATGGTGGGAGAGATTAGAGTTTGTTATCAAACAATATTTTCACTACCGGCAGCAATGGTCTTATTAGTCTATGATGAATTTATGGAGACATTATCTTCATTCTGGATCCTAAAGACTGGATGGGAGAGTGTAGTATCTACAGCAAGAAGAAGACAGCGTAATCTACAACAAAACAAATCAAATATATGGCTTTATCGATTTCAAAACAAAAGAATTTCGATGCCATGGAAAATTTCAACAAAGCATGTTATCTCCTGCAGTAGGAGTGTTCAGGATGGATTGCGATGTAACAGATGGATCATATCCAATGATCTTCTTAAGAAAAAAGTATTTACTCACAAAGTTGAGAGCCACAAGAAAGATCTTTCAAGATCAAGAACGAAGTGGAGTAAAGCTAGCGAGTCAGCATATCCTACGAATGCGTTAGGAAGCATCGTGTTATTGCTATCTCTATTAAAAGTTCTTAACAACATGACTGATGTAATTTTTGTTTCATGTAATATGTTACATTGATTTGATATCAATAAAGTCAAGATGTTATAAAAAAAAACATTGTCTTCTCTGTTTATCAAGACAAACCGAGCCGTCATTTGAATCAAAAGAGAGAAAAAAAATGGAATAGAGAACAGACAATCCAAAAAAAAACTAGGAGAATTCAGGTCTAGGATTGGTTAATCGATCTGGCGCCAAAAAATGCAATTTACCTATTTTCTTTTTTGTTTTGGGTTAATGTTTTTAGATCTTAGGTGATTGAAACTTTGCTCACATCTGAAATCTTAAGGAATAACAAGGGAACTTGAGGGACACTTACAAAAAGAGAGAAACAGAGTTGTTTTCTTGATCAATTTGTTAAGTGATTTTCATGTATAACACATATCAACCGAGATTAGTCTCACCCCAACAGAGCATACTCTTGAAGAATACTATCTTTCGAGCATCTCAACACCTCTAATAGTCGAGCAATCTACTGCTCTAGCGATTCTATCATTATCTATTTTAAAATCCCAACTATTATCATATATAACCCCCTTACCAGCCATAACAACGATGCATCAGAGACATCTACAGTCCAATTACAAATTACTGATATAGGTTCTGACAAATTTCAACAAGAAACAAATTAATTGTGGCGTACATAGAGGAGATAACAATTTACCTTTTGGCTGCTGTTGTGACATATTCGCTTCCCTTTCTCCCAGGGCCGGCGTTGGGCAAAGGCGGATGAAACATTGGCCTTTCCCCCCAAATTTTTATGAAAAATTTATATGTATACAAGTCCCAAAAAAAAAAATTTTAGGGCCCCAAATCCGTAAAAACAAAATTTTTAGGTGAAATCGTTCAAAAATCGCCTTAGACCCCATAATTCTCAGAACCGGCCCTACTTTCCCCACAACACCTGCGACACAGCTCATTCCGCCTTGACTATTTTCCATGATTTTCATGTTTGGTGTATGCATAGCGACAAGTTCCGTGTTTCAACATCAAATATATTAAGATTTCCTTCTCGATGTTTTCGCATCCACCTCTTTTTATTACTCCCTCTGTTTTAATATAAGTGTCACTCTACAGCTACCCACACGGATTAAGGAAACAATTAATTTTACATATTTCCTATATAAAAACACAATTACCCACACACCTAACCATATTTTAACCAATAGAAAAACAAATTACATAATAAAATTAATAAATTTTGCATTGAAAACCGAAAACGACACTTATTTTGTAACACAAAAAATTCTCTACAACGACACTTAATATAAAACGGAGGGANCGGATTAAGGAAACAATTAATTTTACATATTTCCTATATAAAAACACAATTACCCACACACCTAACCATATTTTAACCAATAGAAAAACAAATTACATAATAAAATTAATAAATTTTGCATTGAAAACCGAAAACGACACTTATTTTGTAACACAAAAAATTCTCTACAACGACACTTAATATAAAACGGAGGGAGTATCAGCTAAAATTTAAAACACTTAAGTATCTAATAATTTATGGCGGGAAAGTCAGCTTCCTTAAACCCAACACATGTTTTTACCCTTTAACTTTTAATAGGTTTACAAATGACCCCAGAATTTAAATAAAACAAAACATATAATTACACTTCTCACCATTCATTCTTCGTCCCAAACAAATTCTCGCAGCCCACTAACATCTCCCACTTTCTCTTCAAGTCTCAGAATCATCTAATCACCCGTGCGAACAAGTTTGAGAGTCTAAAGTCATAGAGTCTTTGGGTCATTTCTCGGTAGCAGGTTTATTAAGTTCTCAGGTCAAACTCACAAAGACACTAGTCAAGTTTATGGGTCAAAAATCATGTTTCAAAATTATTATTGAGATTATTTATCTTCTTATTTACTACAGTAATTTACGAGTACATCTCTTAAAATTTTTTTATAAAGAGGTCAATGGAATTTATATCTTTCTTAATAATTTTATATAATTATTTACTAATATATATAAATATTAAAATAAGAAAATTAAATTTCTTTCTTTAAAAAAAAAACATTTTCTTTTTCACACTACAAGAAAACAGGTGTCTAACGACTACACTATTGGTTGTTAATTAGTCGTAATATGCCATTTACGACCAATTAATATCGAAAACCAATTGGTCGTTATTCGCTAGTCGTAATGCACAATTAGTCGTAACGTAGTCGTAATATTACGACTACAAGCCTTAGTCGTAACCTAGTCGTAATAGTACGACTAAGGTATTAGTCGTAAAGTTGAGGTGACACACGTAGTCGTAACGTAGTCGTAAATCTCTTAGTAGTTTATTAGTCGTAATAAAGTTAGTAGTTAAGTAGTCGTAATGCGTGTAGTAGTTCATGAGTCGTAAACATTAGTAGTTACTTAGTCGTAATATTACAACTAAGTAAGTTCGACAGTTGTTGTCGATTAGTCGTAAATCAAAGACTAATTTACGACCAATTTAGATTTTATTATAAAACGATTTTTTAATTTGATTTTTTTTTTAATTTTTGGTTTTTAATTCGATTTTTTTTTAAAAAAAAATAAATTTTAAAAATATATATATAAAATTATATTTGATTAAAATAATATATAAAGTATTCATACAAAAAACCGAAAAACTAAGGTGTTTTGTTGAGGTTCATGTTTTGGAAGAACTCAGAAGAGTGCTGCTCCGCACGTCGATCCATATCCACTTGCTCTTCCGGAGTGGGGTCGGGGTTAAAGCTCGGACGTAGAGC